CTGATACCATAATGATCAAGCGTTTTTAGTAAGATTTAATGGTTAACGGTATCAATTTTATTTTGTATGATATTAACAATGTCAATAACAGCGTGTTGAGTCGAGTGCTTTTCACAAAAGCCATACTGGGATTTAAATAAGATATCGTTTTTGTCAAGAAAGGTTTTAAGTTGATGTTACATCAAGTTTTCAAATATTCTATTAAAAATAGATAATAGCGAAATAGGCCGACAATTCCCGGGTTCAGTTACATCGTCACTTCAGTGTAGACAGGAATAACTTTCGCTTGCTTTAATTTGGATGGATAGACACCTTGCACAGAGATATTAAAAATATTGGATAGAGGGCAGAGATAATATGTTTAGCACCAGATAAAATATGGATTTGACAAGAGTAAAGACCGTTGGTTTTGTTTCGAGGAATAGACAGTATTTCTCATTCAATATCTACTGGAGAGACTGGGAGAGACTGGGAGAGACTGGGAGAGACTGCATCTAAAAAGAAGGAATTAGGATTATTATTGGGTGACAAGTACTCAGTAAAACTACGAGAAGAAGGTGGTACACGCGACGCTAGTTTTTGGCCAACAGAAGAGAAATACTCTTTAAAAGTGTTTGAAATCTCAAGAGGATCAGTTGCTATACTGTTATCATTAATTAAGGCATTTCAAGTTGTCGATGAGATAACCTGAGATTTTTCCTTGTTGGCATTGATAAGGCTATTTATACCATTCCAGGTGCTCTTTATGTTATTAAAATTGTCAGCAAGTGGCTTAAGAGCGCGAACCAAACTTTCTGTCAGACGTTGAAATTTCTGTGTCATCGGTGGATGTCCCTGCCGAACCGCTAGTTCCCCTACGTGCCAATGTGAGAACAAAGGACTCACTGTGTGGCTTCAGTGATTGCGTCGCATTATTGTCTTCAAATTATATTTTTTTTCCCTCACAAGTGTGTCTTTAAAAGAGGTTTTCCCTTTTTGTAAGAGATGATCGGAGATTTTATAATAATTGTTCTCAGCAAGGGCCGATCGTGTATCTGACTCCAAAATTCCATCAATATTTTTTGCAAGTTGCGTGATCATCGTTTCTCTGTCCCAGACCTCAATTGCCTTCTCTTGTTTCAATAATAAAAACCTAATACAAGAATCAACAAAACAGAATTAAATTTATTGCTCATTAAGGTTGTGTCCTTAAACAAATTACTGAATGTCATAATGCTCTTGTCTTGTAAAGCTGGGGTACCTGCTCTTGTCTTGTATGTAAAGCTGGGGTACCTGTTCATAGCCATTCCTCTCCCAAAAGTCCCTGTTAGAATGATTCTCATCTTTGTTTAAACCCTTTGAAACCTCTCCTCACAATTCCAACATGTTATCTCATAAACAGGTTATGAAAACGCACATTAAAGCTTATTAGCAAGAGGGCGTCATCTTAATATAAATGTAACACCAGATTCTCTTGTTTAATTCACATGGAAATGTAAATAAGATAAAAGGGAAAATACTCATTAGATCTTGGGAGTTAACCATTTCCACCCTAATATCAGTATGCATATTCTCCATACTGTGCTTCATACATTTCTAAGGTGCTGACAAGGAGAATTTTGTTAACAATAAAGAGCTCCTTTAGTTGGTGATCACTTCCTTTATTGCTACGGGTAAAAAGGTGTAAGGATTAATTCATCTTGTCCAAAACCTTCACCCCCCTCTTTTTGCACTCTGCTCTTTCATTGCGTGGTTGTCTATGAAGTGACTGTAATGCACAAAGAAGCAAAGTAGTGTAGGGTTACTTCTGATCACTCACTTGAAATGGTCAGGTTTGATCGCTGGCTGATTACCTGCTTCATTTTATTTGGGGGTTAGCTATTAACAACAGTTGGGCGAATTACTAAACCTGTATGAGACAGACACCCTTATTCAGACAGAATTTAGCGAGTGTGCTGAAAGAGTCTAATAAAACAGGTTTCACTGTGGTACCATGCCACATCATACTTTTAGGAATGTGTCAAATTGTATTTAGGTTTTATTGACATTCAAACAGGGTCTTGCCAAGGTGGCTAAGTAAAGCAGTTCACTTACAAGGGTATTTGTGACATGAGAGAACCTTGAGATCATCAACTCACTTCACTGGACTTGAACCCGTTAAACAAGTGTCTAGCTTTTAATTTATCATATCACCCTTGAATCAAAAGTTAAGATCATGACAAGAAAGGAAATGATCACTATTTTGAGAAGCTCCCGATTGTCAAACAAATTCTACTTGTCAGTGGCACAGGAATTAAAAAGAGAACTGTGTGGAGAAAATGAGTGCTGATGTGAGGGTGTAAAAGGGGTAAGATAATGAAAATAACAAAAATACTTAATAATTACTCATCAGTTTAATCGGCAAAGTTGTAATCAATGTTTCTCTGGGGTCTTAAAAATTATTTTTGTCACTTTTGAAAATCTGATGAGAGGAAATATCTTACTTCTTCTCCTATTGACTGATACATTGCTGACAGTGCCCTTTTCACTTGAGTAAAGTAAAACCAAAATCAAAGTGATCACATTGGCCAATCACAAGAAAGGAAAATACCTTGAAGTGCACCTACACCCAAAAAATTTTTTTCACTTAACAAAGTAAGCTTATTTCTTTGAGTATTTCTGCGCAAAAATTTTTTTATTTGCTCAAATCTTCAATTTTCTATGCCCAGTCAAAATACGGAAAATCGGCCGCCATCTTGCCCCACGACCGAGTTTAAAGAAGAATGGCTCTAGCGGGTAATGTGACGTCAAATCGAGAACACGAAAGTCTGCATCTCACACATTTTCACTTGTTTGGGAAGATTGTCGTCGATATTGTCCGAAATATGCCGACTAGGTGTGTTGTATGAAGAATGTATGAAGCGCGATACCCTCTTGCAAATTTCGCACGTTGCTACATCCTTCTACAACACACTTAGTCGGCATATTTTCGGACAATTATCGACTACAACCTTCCCAAACAAGTGAAAATGTGTGAAATGCAGACTTTCGTGTTCTCGATTTGACGTCACATTACCCGCTAGAGCCATTCTTCTTTAAACTCGGTCGTGGGGCAAGATGGCGGCCGATTTTCCGTATTTTGACTGGGCATAGAAAATT